TGTTATCGTGACAGGCCTAGCTGCACTCTCATTTTACTTGTTACAGGAAGGCTCATCACTGGAAAGTATATAATATAATCATATAAAAGTTCTGTCACTGAGAGAGTAAACACCACAGGGTTACATACACATTAATGTCAGAGCACAGGAGCCAGGATCACAGGAATCAGAAGCCAGCTCGGTCTAGTATCACATGCACAAAGGAATACACAATGCTGTGGCTTTGGCAGAGTCGGTGTGCATTCTGAATTTTATAGCAGAGATCGCTGCTGAAAGCATCTACTCTGGCATCATGCAAAGAAGATAAAACAAGGACAGGACAGCAGACGTGGCAGCAGACAGTCCTCCCTCTTTGTATGGAGAACAATTCCCCTGAACTTATTGTAGCTTCGATAGCTATAGCAAGTGGTGAAAGTGTAAAAAAAATGTTCAAGTCGCTGACTACTACTGAGACTTACTAAATAACAAATGGAGAAAATATAGGTAAAAATCCAGTATTTGGGTCACTTTTATTTATTTAATTAATGACATTATTGTGAAACAGGGCATATCACTTCCATCAAATTACTGAATTTATACTGGATATTTTACCATGTCAGATGAGATAATACCTTACACTGTTTATTGTAGTATGTCCTAACATAATTGGTTCACCTGATATTCATCTCAACAACTTCAAAAGACTCGCCCAAAGCCCTCACACAACAGCAACAGCAAAGTTTTGGTTCTACAGTGTCACATTGGTTTTTGCCTATCAAAAAAAAAAAAAAAAGTTTGTAGGATTTAATTTGGTCAAACTGTTAGCAATTATAGGCTCATCGTATTTATGAAGTGCTGTAGTACTCGCGTCTGGTCTCGGACTCAAGATACTTTTTGGAGTTTTACTAGAATATTTATGAATGTGGAAAACATCCACTGAGACAGAGTAGTTGCCTAATTCCCTCACAGTCCAGTAAAGGATGCATTTGGCCAACCAGGTGGAAGGGTTGGATGGGTCAATGCTGACGTTTGAGACAACTGCCGATCATCTGTTGCAATGATAGAAGTGAAACTGTGTGCTAGCGCTGCATGTGGCAGCTACTTACCTAGCTGGTAATGGTCAATCTTCATGGTGGAGTTGGTCAGGGAGCCAAAGATGGTGATGATGGAGACTTTCCTGATGGCCATTTCACACACAGACTCCAGGTACTCATCTCTCTGCTGAACATACATACTGTTCTCCTCGCTGGGGGACGTAATCAGCTGGAGGGAGAGAGGGAGGGAGGAAGGGAGAGAAGAGAGTCATGCAATGAACACACACACGCAGACATACACAGTGTGCTGCAGAGGTGATGTTTACATTAACCTGCAGGCAGAGGATGGGCCATATTTTCCCAGCCTGCCCACAGCACTGCTGTGATAAGAATCTATACTGGCTGCAAAACAGAGACACACAGTCTGTTAGCACACAGCCTGTCGGGTAGCTGCTGGTTTATGCCTCATAATTTATGCCTATATTACATTCCACTCCAGTATATAAAGCATTATTATGAGCTTATATGATTATCTGCCCAAAAAGTGTGGTGTATCAGTTTATTGACCGATACAAATTAATCAAAAATAGATTCCTTATCCAGATGTTGAGACTTTTTGGCTTTCACAACTTCGCAGTACTCTGTTTTGGAAAACAAACTTTCAACAATCATTGGAGTTGCAATATACTGTTAATCACCTCCTCCTGCTGCACATTTTCAACTCCTCAGTGATGCAGGGTGGTGCTACATCCAGTTTGGCTGAAAAGCAACTGCCAGCAAGTCAAAAGTGGAAGTCAAGACAAAATAGTTTAGTCATGACTGTGATATTTCTGTTGGATCACTGCTTTAATTAGCTAGTCTACTTGTCCGACTTCCTGTCTCTTATTGTGAAAATAAGACAATGGGTAAAATGGTGAATATTTTTATGTTAACCACATGTAATTTATTGGTGGAGAGTCCTGTAGGTCAACTACTATTAAAGTTCCAAGCACTACTGATGCAGAAACTCAATGGATGCTAAAAAACATTTTTATAGAAACATTTTGTGGTCTTAGCTAGGTATAGTGACTTCCTGGAGTTCTCACTGACTGGGCTTGGAAAGATATAACGTGGTAATTAATTATATATTTTTTACTCTTCCTGTCTCAATAAAGCTTTACATCTTCTCTTTCACACTTCAATCTGGAGCTCTAGCAAGAATAGGCGTTTTGTCTGATTAGTATTAATGAGCCTCTTTTCTGATTGGCTGACTGTTTTCTGAGTGACACATGGCCAGGCCAACCACATATAACAGGTGACGTATAGCTGTTACATACCAACCTTATGGAGGCCCCGACAGCTTGTTTAAAGGCACAGTTTCTGAGAAGCTGTGCATTTTCTTACCATTGAACAGTGCCAGGGACAGCTGTTTTTATGCTAAGCTAACCTAGCTGACAGTAGCCTTATATTGAACAGATAGATATGAAAGTATCATAGATAAACAAACACCCAAAATATCAAACTACTTCTTTAAAACTGGTATGTGCACAGTATGTACTGGGAGTTGTAGTTACTGTGTCTGAGCACTAATTTTCCCTCTGATCGAAAACTCAAACCGGAGATTTAAAAGAGGTAGCGAGCCTCTTACGAACTGTGAGTTACGTCATGCTCTCACCAGCAGCCGTCTCCTGTTCTCAAAGTAGTCCAGGAAGGAGGTCAGGGATCCCTTCGGAGGGGGCGTTGGCCTTTTAGTGGGCTTGGGGTACTCCTCTTTCTCAGGGTACTTTGAGAGCTTCTTTCCATTTTTCTTTCCCCCGATCTTCCCCTCTTTCCCGACCTTGCCTCCTCTCCTGTCGGCTTTCTTGGTGGCCTTGTCGTTTTTTTTCTTCTTCTTGTCAAGCTTATCATGCTTGCCCTTGATCTTCTTGGTGGGACTAATGACAGTGAAGGTTTCAGTCTCCTCGGGATCACTGACTGTTGGCTTGCTGGGTTCATACTTGTCCTCATACTCATTAGTCAGCACCTGCACGGATAAATATATGTTGTTTATTGATTCTTTCCACCACATTTTTATGTAAATACCTTTACATTACTGTTTGTTTTTTTTTTCAAGACCCACTTTTTCATAAACCTTTCATGGAAAAAAAAATCTCCTTGTACACAAAAAGTGCGGTAATGGTAGTTAGTTTGGCAGTTAGCATTAGCTAGAGTCAAGAAAGATCTAAAAATATAAAGATTTTCTTTTCTCTGATTTGTTGTTTTTGTTGAGGCGTGGTGGATTCTTGCAAATGCCATTAGGAGCACTAGGAAGAGTGTGTTTAACCATAATTTTACCTGTCTAAATTATGTTAAGGCTTAAAGTTATGCAGAATTGAGGGCATGCTTTTAGTCAGGACTGCCAAGATGGCGATGGCCAGAGCCGACCACACTGAGCTTCCCGAGACTCTTCAGAAACTATGGGTGACAGCACAGAGACATTTTTAACTATACAGTCTATGGTTAAATCACCAAAGTCAAATGAACTGACCAATCGAGACAGGAGTGGAACAGCAACTCCCTGTTCTGTGAGGTAAAGTACTGTTTTTGTCAACGCATTTGAGAAGAGCATAGATTAGAGATTAGAGAGATAGATTGATATAAACAAAGGTAAGACAGTGAAAACATTCTAAATATAGTGTACACTTAAACTGCTACAGATTTTTTTAGGTGGGCCTATTTTAAGTGGCTAAAATACATTTTGTTTCCAACTCCGTCCACAGCAGTGCATTGCTTAGCTTGCAGCTAAACTGGGGCGTGCCAATCGCTGTCTACCGTAGGTGCCTTTAAGCCTTTAAGTATGGTTTTAGTACTTGTGTAAGTGCAGTGAATATACGCGTGTTTAGATTTGTGTGTGTGTGGATGTATGTATGCGTATATATGTAGCTATGCAAATACTTGGACTCGTCTTACTTTTATACCTGCTTTATTGTCCCTTTTTTTCTTCTTTTGTCCTATACACAAATCACAAATGCACTGAAAATGGTTGTTTTTGAAAAAATGCTAATAAAAAGAGTTTTGGAAAAAAAAAAAAAAAGTATGGTTTTAGTACTGATGTTTTCCACAAGTTTAGCAGCCTATATACAGAATGAACCCCAGGCACTTTTAGCAAATCAAATACATTTGTATCACCTTCTCTCCCCCGTTCTTCTTCCGGGTGGGTTTGACCCTGGAGGGTTTATGTGTGGCAGGTACCAGCTTGTGGCTGTGTGGATCTCCGTTGTCCTTGTCAGTGCGATTATCTCCAGCTGGGGTGGTTTTAGCCGGGTACCTCTCCCTCTCTCTGCGGTTGTAGTAAGGGTCAGCAGTGGTTCTGGCGGCTGGGAGCCACAGGGCTGTGGTGTGGGCTCTGGTTGGTCTCTGGGTAGTGGTAGTGGTGGTGGTGGTGGTGGGTCGTTTTGTGGTGGTTCTTCGGGTGGTGGTAGTGGTGGGTTTGGTGGTGGTTGTGGCTTTAGTTGTGGTTGTTGTTGCTCTGGTTGTGGTGGTGGTGGGCTGTGTTGTAGTTGTGGTGGTGGTTGTTGTTGTGGTTGGCTGTGTAGTTGTTGTGGTGGTTGTTGTTGTTGTAGGCTTTCTTGGGATCTTCTTGCCTGGTTTTCTTTCTACTGGTGTATCTACTGGTCCACACACACAGAAAGACATGGACATGACAAGATAGATAGATAGATAGATAGATAGATAGATAGATAGATAGATAGATAAAAAGCTGTCTTTAAATACTTTCCTATTTTGTGAGAAAGTACCTAGAGACAGTAGATTGCTACAACAATATTACATTAGACCAACAAAGTTGACCTAAATTGTTTAGTCATAATACATTCTAGTGTGAAAATGTCCTGACACTTTTCAAGTATTTCCAGATGACCTGCTTCAAGGTGCTGTTCCTGTCCGTTATTTTCAGTCCACACTGACATTCTGCTGCCTGCCGTTGAGGACGGCCTCTTTGTGGAGTTCTCTCTCCTGATTGGATAAAGTGGGAACAGGATACCAGGAAGTGTATCCTCTGTTTACTGCATGAAGGAGGACTGGGAGACTATGTTACTGACTGTACTCTCTATATCAGTGACAGCTGTCACAATGTGGAACTGATTAACACGTATTTAAAAAAATATATACATATCATATTGCAGTACTTTTAATTAGTGTATACTTTTGTAAGGATCATGGATTAAAACTAAATTCCATAAAAAACATATTCTCCTCTAGTTATATCTAGCCATGCAGATAGCTTTTTGAGAATAAAATGTACACAGCAACCTTTCATTCCAAGAACATTGTCCCATTAACTCTGGATAATCCACAAAAAAACAAAGTGTTTTCACTGAAACTATTTTCTTCTGATGAAATAGCCTCTATGAAAACAGAGTGTTCTGTTGATAATGAATAACCAGAAAACACTTAATGTGAATGTTCATTGGTGTGAGAACCACAAATAAAAGTATATTCACTGCCATTGTGTTGGAGTGCAGGTTTTACAGTTGTGTTTCTAAAAAACAAATGGAACCAAAATCGGCGAGGCTTATCTGCATACCACTAGAGTGGGAGAAAATATGTTTTAATTTTGTCATCTGCCCATTTACATGGATATAGTAAGATATATTAAGATCCCTTCCAATCATGTATTAAGGCATACATACAAATAGTCTGTTTGGAACAACAATTTCTGTCTGATATGTTTTTTCAACAAAAAAAGTCTAATTTCCACATTAAAACCCTTGAAAAATCATCTCCTCCTTCTGCCTCATTAAAACTTCCAGAATCTCTGAATACACAAATGTTGATTTCTAAAGTTTT